AAAATCAATTACTTTTAATATCGTGATTCTTACTAAATTGATGAGGCTCCAGTGGATGAACAGACACACACACACACACACACACACACACACTAAAGGGCATTTGGGGACCCAAACTGTAGAATTTTTAAATCAAAAGATCTTCAACAAATTCAAATATGGAAAACATTTTGTTCAACATGCTTTCAGAAATTGCTCATATGACCTTACAACAGTGGTGTTAGTGTTCAAAAGAACCATGCAGCCGCAATCAGATAAAAACCCAGCATAGAACTGGGGAAATGGGCAGAAGCCTCCACCTGTAGCTGAAGAACTATTGGCAGCCTGTTACTTCTGGATGAATGAGAGCTGATCTGCTTTAAATGAGACTCTGTATAGTCTAACTAGACCCCTGTGGATGAACTTGCACTGAGGGACATCTGATGCACAAACTTGACTTGCTAGGCAATAACATATATCACAGAATGCATGAAATCCAGTTGGGGGGGATATGGGGGTGCCAATGTGGCACAGGGGAAAAAGATGATTAAGATGTTTTGTAAGAAATGAACAAAAATTCAATAAAAATATGCAATAAATATGTATACCATATTCTAAAATTTATTATAAAATTATACATAAAAAGTCTCAGTATATTTTCCATATTGGAGTAAAGTATGATTCTAATAAAGAAACACATAAGCTATCATTTCACTCTTTAAATCACTTCATATTTTTTTCACTCTCTACCAGTGGGGGATGCTAGAGTGAGCTTAGTAGGCCAGTGGCAAAAGGGATTTGCTCTTTCTATTTGCAGGAACGAGCACCATGACATCCCTTAAAAAGCATCACGTCTTTGGCAGGAACTCTACTCAAAGACTGTCTCAGCTCTGCAGGGCAGCTCCAGTTCTCCACTTCTCTCTGCCCAGGAACAGTAGCTTCTGTAGAGAGAGTAGTCCTTTACCCAGGATTACACTTTCCACTTTTTCAGCTGAGTTATTTGTTCATCCACCAGGGCCCAACAATATCAAAGGGAAAATTCCAGAAATAAACAACTCATAGGTTTTAAATGGATTACTGGGTATTGGGAAGAAATCTTGATCTGCCATGCCCCCTTCCAGAAGACATGAATTATCTCAGGCCAGTGCAGTCACACTCACCAGCTTTTGCTACCTGTACTCACATGGTAACCATCAGTCACATGGTAGGCTGTAAGATCTTCGTGTACTCTCAGGTCTCATTTTTACCTTTTTAGTTTATACATGTTTTTAACCAGTTCTTAAAGGTTTTATTATGAATACCTGGTGTGGCTTGTTTTCCTCCCAGGCCCTGACTGACACAGTATATCTGATCACAGAAATAGCAAGCAGAATCCTTCTTTATAGTGCAACTAGATAGTTAATTAAATGCCAGAGTTGTGAATTTTTTTTTAACCTATTTAATAAGATTTAATCATAATCCCCAAAAAACTGAATAAAATTCAATCTTATTTAAATATTTTGGGTTTTAATCTTTTGTATTGGGGCTGGAGAGATGGCTCAGTGGTTAAGAATACTGAATGTTCTTGCAGAAGACCCAGGTTTGAATCCCAGCACCCACATAGCAGCTAACAACCATCTGTAACTCCAGTCCCAGGGGATCCAACAGCCTCTTCTGTCCTCCAAGGGCACTGCATGACATGGGTGCACTTATCTACATGCAGGCAATGCACACATACACATAAAAAATTAAAATAATAAATAAAATATTTAAAAAAATTTTTGTATTAATGAGTTATGATTTTTATTAGGTCTTTTTGTTTTATTTTGTTGATATTTGGGGATTTTTGTTTTTTTAATGTATGTGTGTGTATGCCAAGTGTGTGTGGCAGAGGCCAGAAAAGGACATTGGATCTCATGGAGCTGGAGTTATAGGTAGTTGTCAGCCACTAGACATGAGTGCTGGGAACTGAGTTCAGGTTCTCTGAAAGAGCTGCAAGCTCTCTTAACTGATGAGCAGTCTCCAGCTGTATTTGTTTATTTATTTTTATTTTTATTTATGTGTATGAGCGTATTGCTTGCATGTGTATAAGTGCAGCTGTGTCGTGCAATGCAAAAGAAGGTCAGAAGGCATCAGATTACCCTGGAACTGGGAATCTGTTAGCTGCCATATGGGTCTGGGAATTGAACCCAGGTCCTTTGCAAAAGCAGCCAGTGCTCTTAACCACTGAGCCATCTCTCCAGCCCCATCTATTTACTTTTTGAGAGAGGGTCTCATGTAGCTCACACTGGCTTGGAACTCACCATATAGTGGAAGGTGGCCTTGAACTCCTGATCCTCCTGCCTCTACCACCTGCGTACTGGGGTTACAGGTCTGCTTTCAGCACCACACCCACCTGTTTGGTCTTTAAGTTTTAATAAATGATCTTGAATATTTTAGAAGAAAAAAAAACCCTCATTTTTAAAATGTTGAACTGAGTATCATGGCAGCAGCCTGTAATCCCAGAACTTGGGAGGTAGAGGCAGGAGGATCAGGAGTTCAAATTCATCAGTTGCCAGCAAATTTGAAACCAATCTAGGATACATGAGTGTCTCCCAATTGGCTGGTTCCTTCAATGGGTGGGGCCTGACATGGAGTGGGAATGAGGAAGGGAAGCTGGGAGCCATCTTGGGATGGAAGCCAGGCGCTGCCAGTAGAGCGTGATGGTGTAGGAAACTCCCAGCCAGTGCAGCAACTCAAAGACAGAATGGACTGACTCCCTGTGGACCTGGGACAAGATCGCTGGCCCTGGAGGCATAAGAGAATGCAGGGCTATGGGTGTGGCATGTTCTGATAAGGCAGGCTCTGAGTGGCAGTGGCACAGGGCTAGGCACTAGGTACTCATTCCTTTGTAAGTTAATAAATACACATAAAATATATTATATTCTTTGTCTGATCGTAAACAGGAGACCCAGAGAGAATTTGGGCCACAGAATTGGTGTAGTTGGCGGGATATGACAAACCTGAGAATGAGTTTTAGTAGAGCACTAATGGCGGTGCTGATGTGGTTTTTGCAATGGGTTACTAAAAAGAGGACAGCCACACAGAAGTGTGGGCCACAGCTATGTAGTAAATGTGGGGATATGTTGTGGGTATGTGAAGATTTGTTAAAAGTTACCCAAAAGTTAGAAGATTTTTTCTCTCCTCTGGACCCAAAAGGAGCTCCCAGAAAAATAGAGCAGCCACTTTGCATGATAAAACATATGCCCCAGGGGGGAAAAGCTGAAAAGACAGACCCAGGCACAGAGCTGGAGACAGAGGGAAGGCTGGACACTTTGACTTGTGTAAAGTTCAAGGACTCAGAGAAAAAGACAGATAATAGTAAAAAGGATAAAAAAGCTAACTGTACTATAGCTAGGAAATATTCCATGCTGGAAGTGTTAAAGCTAGGAAAAACTTACAGGCAAACAAGCAGAGAGCCCTTGGCCACGTGGCTTGTGAGAGTATGGGACATGGGAGCAAATGATGTCAATCTAAGTCCTTCAGAAGCTTCACAGCTGAGTTATATAACAACCCATCCGTCCTTACGATACAGGCTGTTCAACCTAGGCCAATGCAGTGGGGGAGCATTCCTTAATGGGATAGCTGGTTGAAGGCATTAAAGATACATGGTTGTCACCAAGGGAGACTAACATGATTAGCAGGGGCTGGAGGACTATAAAGGAGGAACAGGTGTTACTGAGAGAACTAGGTATGAGAAAAACAATATATGATGTCCAGTTCACTGGGCCAGATGAGACTGTGTTCACCAGAGATATGAAAGAAAGCTTAATTCAACTGAGACCTCGAGAATGGTATGGGGCTTTAATGGCTTTGCTAAGCCCTTTGATGGGACAGGATCTTTGTAAAGTGAGAGAGGCTTTGGCAAATCTAAATGATTCTGACCAGCATGTAAAACGTGTCTGTGAAATAACAGAACACCCTATAAGAGATATAAAAAAGACCAGACAGAGGAAATGGTCCACTTCGGTTACTCGACAACAAATGTGGCAAGAGTATGTCAAGCCCAAATCCCCAGAGAAAAAATTGATAGAAAACCAAATTTGGTACTAAGGCGTTTCTGGAAGGCTTTAAAACCAAAACAGTTTACAAAGAACATTCGAAGGATAACAACTGTACAAGGGTGGTTAAGAATCCCCAATGATTAAATAAGATCTCTTCTGATAAAGGCTATACTGGGGTGGAAGCAGGTTTTCCCACCAAGTTCTCCCCCAGCAACCTGGTGTGGTCAATGGAAAGATGACAGATGTGGCTACAGTCAGGAGGCAGACCCAGAGCCTGTCTGACTCAGGGAACCAACAAGTGCAGGGGGGACAGGAGAAGCCCCTGCCTCCTTAGCCCAGTGCAGGGTCAGGCAACTGGAGCCAACACCTGTAAGTGTATCAAGAATAAAAGAATCCAAAGGGATAACTAAAAATGGTAATGAACTAACCAAATTAATGCCTCATACCCATGCTATGGTACCTAACAAGGATCTATGGAGAAAACAGTTAATATGAATGGACAAAACCTTTCCAAGCTTTATGAGACCTTGTCTATAACTGATTTAATATTTAATGTTAACGTTCCCTTGAATGTTTTACAGATGTGAAACCCATTTGAAAGATACCTGAAGAAGCAAAGGTCAGCTATAGACAACTGTTAAGAAAATCTATAGTACCAGGGGTGGGTTGCCCCCCTATGAGCTGTTGGTAAGAGAGAGACCCTTGAGGTCCTCCAATTCACCAAAGCTATTACCATTAATGTCGGTTGTACACTAGAAAGGTCGGTAAGGCCATGTTGCCGAGGACACTGCATGTTGTGAGTGTGGGAGAAGAAGAAGAGTTTGAACTGAGACTAAGCCAAAAAAAACTCTGTGCCATTGGATAGAT